AGGTGAAGGGCTGCGCGATGTTGTGGGAGCTGGGCCGGCCTGGTCATCCATCTCTGGGGGACTATCATCCGCTTGACTCATCCAGGCGCTGGGTCCACGGCTACGTAAGGCATGAGACATAACTACTTTATCTGTGTACTGTGTCTTAAATCAGTGTTGACCGGTCAGCCCGTCGTATCAACAAGATTTCAGACAAAAAAATTTAATTAAATACACAGATAAGTAGGTTATATATATAAAATATATATAAGGAACCGCGCGGTCAGCAAGTGTTAGTACATGTATGTGTGTGTGTCCCAGGCAGGCAGCGTCTCGCCCCAGCTGTGAGGGAGGGGGGTGGAGGCGGCGCTGTGAGGGAGGGGGGTGGAGATAGGAGTAGCTCAGTCGCTCTCTGTAAACGGTCAGAGGAGGGTGCGCTGAGCTCTACACCCCACAAATGCCCAGAACATGCCGTATACCTTGGAAATCCGTTCGAACAAGGTCACACATGAATGGCACGAAACACACAATGCACTAAACACTTCACAGAAAATCACTGTCACTGACACTGCTCAAAGTTGCGAAATTCTTCGAGGGATGACGCGGGGTTGACCCAAGGCGGGGATCCATCAGCCGGCTTTCCACAAACTTGCACTAATCACTCGTAATAATCCAGTAAAACTACGCACTGCGCCATGTTAGATGTTCTGGGTAATAAGTTCTATATACAGGAGAGAACACAAACACCTGTATAGTTTTGTAGGTTCGGTTTACTGGATAAGAGTATGTACACAGAGGTGGATAGCACTGCTCCTAGCTAAGGTCCTGGTCAACTACCATAGACGACGTATGGCAAGTGATACATTAGCAGCTTCCATACGTCGCCAGGCACATTAATTAAGCGTGTGGGATATGGTAATAACATTGCCACACGCTGCTAGCTAGGCTGAATAAATATAAATGGAGCACATACATAATATACATACATAATACATAATCCAGCATACATAATATACATACATGAGGGAATTACTACACACGTGAGGCCCTCATAACACCATCTGTGAGGGAATTATTACACCACGTAAGGCCCCTCATAACACCATCTGTGAGGGAATTACTACACCACGTGAGGCCCCTCATAACACCATCTGTTAGGGAATTACTACACCACGTGAGGCCCTCATAACACCATATGAGAGGAAATTACTACACCACGTGAGGCCCCTCATAACACCATCTGTGAGGGAATTACTACACCACGTGAGGCCCCTCATAACACCATCTGTGAGGGAACTACTACACCACGTGAGGCCCCTCATAACACCATCTGGGAGGGAGTTACTACACTACGTTTTTGCTGTTCAACACCTACAATAATCTATATGTTCACTGTATGTTCCTTTACCTTTCTCTAATGAAGGCTTTTGTTAAACCACCAATGTATGTAATAAGTCATTTATGTCCAATGTATATTTTCAGCCTTCCGGCTGCAGAACTTTTTCAATAAACCGTCAATTATTATTATTATTATTATTATTATTACACACACACACACGCACACGCTCACACATGCACACACACACACACACACACGCTGACACACACACACACACACACACACACACACACACACACACACACACACTCGCACACACAGACACGCTCGCACACACACACACGCTCGCACACACACACACGCTCGCACACACACACACCCTTGACCACCGAAGGGTCGAGACGTGCCTGGCGCTCCTCTCGGAGCAGCCAGGTCAACTGTTGTGTTGTCCCATACCAGCCCCCTCCCCTGACCCCTCTTACCCACCGGAATATCAACATGTTCTCGCCAGAAGTTGCTGTTTCATTTAGGAAAGGAATGGAACCAGTGTTAAACAGAGGTGAACAGTGGTGAACGGTGCTTAAGTCAGTGAGAACAACTCAACAGTAACAGTCGTACCCGGGTTGACCTTCACACAGTGAGGTCCCAGGTACCCAGTGATAGCGGCCCGTGAGACCCAACAACCAGCGATGTGTTAATCCGTCTACGATAGGAAGGCCTGGGACCACACCTCACTCATATAATACCATCTGTGAGGGAATTACTACATCACGTCAGGCCCCTCATAACACCATATGTGAAGGAGTTACTACACCACGTGAGGCCCCTCATAACACCATCTGTGAGGGAATTACTACACCACGTGAGGCCCCTCATAACACCATCTGTTAGGGAATTACTACACCACGTGAGGCCCCTCATAACACCATCTGTGAGGGAATTACTACACCACGTGAGGCCCCTCATAACACCATCTGTGAGGGAAGTACTACACTACGTGAGGCCCCTCATAACACCATCTGTGAGGGAATTACTAGACCACGTGAGGCCCCTCATAACACCATCTGTGAGGGAATTACTACACCACGTGAGGCCCCCTCATAACACCATCTGTGAGGGAATTACGCCACGTGAGGCCCCCTCATAACACCATCTGTGAGGGAATTACTAGACCACGTGGAG